AGAACAGCTCAAGAACACCTCAAACACAGCTCAAACACAGTCCAACGACTAGCAAGGTTAAGCAGAGGTGTCATCCAGGGCATTGACRTCCACCCAGGACAACTGGGACACCCAGAACATCCAGAGCATCCAGAACATCCGGAGCTTCTACGTTGCATCTCAGCACCTCAAGTGACAAGGAGGGGGATGGTGGTAGAGCCAAAGCCAAAAGCCCGGTGGCCCCCKGGCCYAAGGCAGGGGCTTTCCGACCATGGTTCTGGKGTGCAGTTATTACTCAGCTAGTTGTAGGGTTATTACTCAAGGGATCTGACTGAGGAGTTCCCATCAGAATGGTCAGAGATACTTAACCCGGGTGTTCTGATAGCTATGTACTCAATTTTGTACTCAAGGGAAGCTGGACCCGATTTCCAGCAGGTGAAGCTCCCCGCCAATAGATGGAGCATTCACCTGCAGGCAGCTAGGGAGGGCTTCTCTTATCAGTCCCCTAACAGATCTGCACAGGCCTTTCAAAAAAAAAAAAGTCAGATTAGCAGGATTGGCTCAGTGCTGCAGATAACGTGGTTGATTTCTTGGAGGCATACGAATGTGAAAAGCTGTTCTTAATGAGTTACCACGTTCATAGTATCTTATGTGGCTTGGCGCTCCTGCTGCTATGTAGTACTTCTTTTGGTACTTCTGCACGTTTTTCCCTGCCTCCGCTTCGCCGGCAGCCAGAGAGCAAAAGACAGCCACTGCAGAGAAAGAGCAGGCTGCAAAAGCAGCTTTATTCAGGAAGATCTCTCTCTCTCTCTCTCTCTCTCTCTCTCTCTGTGTGTGTGTGTGTGTGTGTGTGTGTGTGTGTGTGTGTGTGTGTGCAACAGGCGATGCTGTGTACCCTTTTTTGGAAACCCCCCTTCTTTCATCAGCCACCCCCGAAGTGAACAATACCCCTCTCCAGGCTCGCCCCCAGTTTGGCCCACTTCAGTGTCCCTTTTTCTTGTTTTTTCAGCAAGGACCGGTGCAAGGAAGATGAGCAATAGCGAACTTCAGAAATCAACAGCATGATAC